AGGCGGATACTCAGCTTGGGCATTTATAAGCTGATGATGCCTGTTGAATACCTTTTATAAAGATGAATATTTTTCACTCTGTGCCCATTACCAGAGCGTTAATCACCGTGGCTTCAGCGCGCACAGCTGAGGGTGAGCAGATGTCGAATCGATACCGCCTGCGACCATAGTCAGTCGCACTGGGGGCGGGGCGCTGGAGGGGCCGGGGGGCCGCAGGACCTCTGACCCCGCAGCTGATCTGCGTGGAGCCCGCTCCTGCCGGGCTGCCTGCCCCTTTCCCAGGTGGCCAGGGCCACTGTCCTCGCTGGTTCTGCCTCCTTGTAGGTTATGTCTGTGCTGCGACTCAGCGCTGGCAGGCAGTGATGAGTCCTGCAGTCGCAGACGTGTGGTGGCAGGTCTGACAGGAGGCAGCCGTGGCCTCGATTCCACTCGGTGATGAACACAGTTCATTAAAATGAGAGATCGCACTTGAGGTCTGTAACAGCTGCTTCCTGGCGCACTCCAGACCATGCCATCCAACAGAATTGGCGCGAGCCACATCTGTCGTTCAGAGTGTTCCAGGGGCCACGTTAAACAAGAGTACAGAACAATGGGGGAGATTAATTTTAATAATAAATTTCAACTGAAACATCATCTCGACATGACTTCAGTCTAAAAATCACTAATGACCCGCTTCATCTTGTGTGTTTCACACTGAGTCTCTGAAATCCAGTGTGTTTTTACATCGGTTTTTAGCATCCTGCCTCAGTCTGGATGCTAATTTCTATCCGAGATACTTGGTCTCTATTTAATAAACATTTAATAAAATCTATTAAAGAGTAGATTTGTGTACCCAAGTTGTTCAAAGCAGTTGTTTCCAAGAATTGAACCAAATATCATATTTTTACATTTATATTTAAGTTACTTACAATTAAGTAAAATCAAACATTTTGTTTATCAAGGGCACTTACTGCATTTCCGCCGCCCGCTGGCTGTCGCAGGAGAGCATACCTGAAGGGTTCGCTGCTCTGTGCACGTTCAGTTGAAAGGCTGACTGTGTAATATTTTTTTATTATGGTTATTGAGAGCCAGCCGCCGTTTACTGGGTGCTCACTGTTGGCCACATACACACACTATGTTGTTTCATTCTCACCTGAGAGGGGAACTACGGCTTCCTAGTCGAGCAGATCAGCCACAGGGAGGCTCGGAGAGTTTCAAGGACCTGCCCAAACCCAAAGCTGGGTATGAGTGGGTGGCTCCATTCCTTCCTGACGTGTGCGGGTGAGCTGCCCCTGTGAGCTGACCCTCAGTGAGCTGCCCCTGTGAGCTGACCCTCAGCGAGCTGACCCTGTGAGCTGACCCTCAGCAAGCTGACCCCTCAGTGAGCTGACCCTCAGCAAGCTGACCCCTCAGTGAGCTGTCCCTCGGCAAGCTGACCCTGTGAGCTGACCCTCAGTGAGCTGCCCCTGTGAGCTGCCCCTGTGAGCTGACCCTCAGTGAGCTGCCCCTGTGAGCTGCCCCTCAGTGAGCTGACCCCTCAGTGAGCTGTCCCTTGGCAAGCTGACCCTGTGAGCTGGCCCTCAGTGAGCTGACCCTGTGAGCTGACCCTCAGTGAGCTGGCCCTCAGTGAGCTGACCCTGTGAGCTGACCCTCAGTGAGCTGACCCTCAGCGAGCTGACCCTGTGAGCTGACCCTCAGCGAGCTGACCCTGTGAGCTGACCCTGTGAGCTGACCCTCAGCGAGCTGACCCTCAGTGAGCTGACCCTCAGCGAGCTGACCCTCAGTGAGCTGACCCTCAGCGAGCTGACCCTCAGTGAGCTGAGAGGCTTCCCCCAAATCTCACAGTGACCTGGGCCCCTGAGCTGGACGAGCGTTTGTTGCAGCCGTTTTCCAAATGGTTGTCTTCGGGCAATTTATTTGAAGTATGAGGTTTGCTTTTGTTTTTGATGGTCAGATTCCCAGGCCATCTGTTTTGTGCCGAAAGGGACGATTGACACAAATCGTCATATAGAAATGATATATTCTGTTTATGGGGAGGGAAGGGGAAGGGCATTCTAGACACTGGGCTGGGGCGTCGTAGTGGACAGGGGAGGCCTGTTCCTGCCTGCTAGGGACAGTCTCGTGCTTTCAAATAGTTCACTGCAGGTGTGTGTGTGTGTGTGTGTGTGGTGTTTGAGTGTGTGTGTGTTTGATATATGTGTGTATGGTATGTAGGAATGCATGTGTGGTGTGTATGAATGTTTGTGTGTGAATGTGTGTGTCTATATGTTGAGTGTGGGTGGTGTAGCTTCTTTGGTGCCCTTGATTTTTGGTCTTGACTTGTGATGAAATTTGAGAGACTTTGGTGTTATTTAAAACCTGTGCCCTGCCATTTGTGAAAAACACCGACAGTAGACCGAAAGGCAGAATAAGAGACACCCCTGAAAAAAAGAGGATTTGAGTCACTTGCTATTGGGAAGGGCAGTCGAGTGGCTGGGGCAGCCCTGGGAGGCAGACCACTTGTCCCTGCAGACCTGTCATTGGATGCCGGGCTCCTGTCTTTGCACCCCCACACACACGTGCATATGGCCTGTCTGGATCAGCTTGGACACCATCCAGTGAAACTGGGTCACCAGAAAGGCGGGAGAGATTGTGTTAGGATGTCATTGTCCCTCTGATGTTTTCCAAGGACAGAACAGGCTGTTCTAGACTGTAGGTCCCTCCTCACCACGTAACAGGTATGCTGTGGCCACCAGATGAGGAATGAATTTGGACAAAGTAACCATGCAGCACCTGTCTGGCCAGGAAGAGAGAGCTCCCTTCCACAGTGAGCATACGCGCATGCACACACAGGTGCACACGCACGCACATGCATGCACACACAGACACACACCCTCCATCAGGTCTCCGTGTGTGTGCAGGGGCTGCTGGCACTGATGAGAACAGGGCCCCCTCTCGTGGAGACTGCACCCTAGTAAGGAGAAACGCATAATAGAACCAGTGGTGACTCGGTGGTGCAAGAGCCTGCCTGCGCCCAGGTCAGCCGGTGGGCTGTGCTCCCCTCAGCTTTGTCCTCTCAGCCAGTTTGAAGGACTCTGGGGCTTTGGGGTCCTGGGACAGGTTTCTGAAGGGTGCTGCTGCCCCTCTGCTCCTCTGTTCTTGGAGGCCTGCATGAGGTGCCTGGTATGGTCAGTGCCACCTTGAGGGAAGCCTGGAACCCGGTGATCTGGTCCTGGGTTGCGTGTGATGCGGGGCTGGAGCTCGGAGCTCTGTCTGTGGGCCGGGAGGCGGTGGCCCTCCACCCTGGAATGGTGGCTGCTTTTACGAAGTCCTCCTGCTAGTGTCGCCCCACCTCCTCCTCTCCGTGGAGCAGGCAGCTCCCCGTTTCCTGCTTCATCTTGACTGGCCATCGGTGGGGTGGATGCTGAAAACGCCCAGGTGGTGAACACAGGTGGATTATATAGCACGGAGTTTTTATGTTCTCAAGGGGCTAAGAGAATGAAATGTCATTAAACGTGGCAAAATGGCAGTGAGGTTTCCGAAAGTTGTTTTTTTTCTCATATAGAGAGGCTGGATGACAGACAGCCAACCCCTGGCTGGGGGTAGTGGGCGCTCCCACCAGGTAGCCAGACTTGGTCGACAGCATCTCCCCACTGAAGATGGACAGGCCAGCCATCACCTCCTTCACCTGGAGTAATCCTGACAAATGACACCAACACACTCAATTACCCCTGAGAACAGTGAAGTCCCCACCAGCCTGTCCAGTGTGACAGATAAATGGGGCGGTAAGGGATGGATTTTGGCCAGGGCATCTGGGTACCAGAGCCGAACGGCCATTTCTACCATCTCTGAGTCTGGAACCCCCCCGACTCCCCCTCCTTCCCTTCCACTCTTTCTAAAAATCAGTGGGAAAAAAGTCCTTATGTATGTATATATATAAAAAGCCAAGAAACATTAATGCAAAACATGCTTCTGTCTCATTAACGTTGCAAAATGGGAAATCTTAAAAACAAGCGGTGTATGTTGAACGTTTCCGAGCTCTGCTGTCTGTCTCGTTTTCTGCTTTGTGGAGGAAGCAGTGGCTGGGCTGGCTCCACGGCACAGGCCCGGGTGGTACACAGAGTGCATATGGGGGGGTGCAGGGGTGCGGGGGTTGGCGCTGCAGCTGAACAGGATTTCCCAGCTGGAGGAGACAGTTAGTGATTGCATTTCATCTGTAATGTCATTTGTATCAGTTTCCTTATTGTGCTTTAATTTCCTGAACACCCTTTTTTCTGTTCCTCTGTAAAGAGCAAATGAAAACCCAAGTTTTCTCCAACTCTGGTCCTCACCCCACAGTTTATATGTTTGCACAGTAATTCAGTCTACGTTCCAGGATCCCAGTGGATGCCCGAAACCGTGGATGGTACCGAGCCCTATGTACACTGTGTTTCTTCTACACGTACACACCTTTAATAAAGTTTCGTTTATAAATTAGGCACGGTAAGAGAGTAACAACAATAACTAGTAATGAAATAGAGCAGTTACAACAATATACTGTAGCAAAGGGTGTGTGAATGTGGGCTCGCTCTCCAAGTATCGCATCGTATGTACATACAGTGTGGATACTGTGGGACAGAACAGCACAGTGTAGGATTTCCTCAGGCTGCTCAGAAGTGCACGCAATTTAAAACTTGTGAATTGTATATTTTTGGAATTTTCTGTTTATTATTTTCGGACTGTTTGACTGTGGGTCACCGAAACCACAGAAAGTGAGGCGGTGGATAAGGGAGTCTGCGGCATGTTTGTGAATTACCGTGTATTTGCCCAGAGATGCCCATGCATATTCATGCACATGCGAGTTCTGTGTGTGAATTATTCACGTAGCAGTATAAGTGATGCCCTCCTAGTCCAGTCATCTGACAGTCTCCAGATGTCAGTTGGCAGAATGTGGATGTAACACGCTGAAAAACAATGTAACGTGCTGGGGAAACAAGCTTCTCGCAGACACGAGTTGCATCTTGGTGGGTCTCCTGCTGACTGGCAACCCCGTGTCCCTGCAGACTGCAGAGAGATCCTGCTTCCCATGATGACGGACCAGCTCAAGTACCATCTGGAGCGACAGGAAGACCTGGAGGCCTGCTGCCAGCTGCTCAGCAACATGCTGGAGGTGCTGTACCGGAAGGATGTGGTGAGTGAGAGCTGCGCGCTTGCACGGCTGCCGCCTGGGACCCACGGGAGGCCTTGTCCCTGGGTTCACGCAAAGCCCACCGAGGGAGTCCCCCTCCTGGGATTCATGCGAACCCCGCCTGGGGACAAAGGCGCATAGGCTCATTCAAAATGAAATGGCCTTCATTTTAAGGGCGACCCCCTTTCTGTGAACTTGCACCCTTGAATTACCTTTACTTACGTATAAGGTGTGCTGATTATATTACAGTGTTTATTCTTCTGCATTCAAAATATTTATTTTTAAGTGTCTTTCCTGTAACTTCTCAGCTAAATGCCTCCCAAGACTTAGATTTTAATTCTTAAAGTAGGACAAAAAGGCTTTGGTGATAAACATTGGAAAGAAACAAGTGGAGGGTATTACCTACATTCTTTCGATTCTTACCTTATTAGAGTCAGACGTGCACATGGGTGGGTTTTTTTTTAAGTCACTGTTGCTTCTGAGAGTTTTGAGAGGAGCAGCTTTCTGCCTCTTCCCCTGGTTCCTCTCCCTGTGGGTAATTTCTTCCTGGGCTTTCTTAGCTAGTTTTTGTTTTTTCAATTGTATTTCCTTTTGCATTTCTAAGTTGCATGCTTATCCCATTGACCTTTTTCCTTAATCCACAGTTAGTGCAGCACAGGTGGGAAAGTCTGACCCTACGCTTCCCCCTCCCCCGTGTACCCACTTTCTATATTTGTGTACACGTGGCCACACACGTGGCATCGTTGGTTCTCCAGGTGTGTCTGGAAATGTGTACAGGGCCTTGATCACCTCTGCCCCGGCCTGTGGACAGACTGGCGGGATTTTCGAGTTGGCAGGGCTGGCTCTTAGCTCTGTCCCACATGACCTTTGGACACCTTTGCTGTCAGCGTGCACATGCACATGCACACACACGCACGCACGCGTACACACACACACACACACACACACACACCCCACCACCACCACCCCTGTCCTGCCCACTGCCTCCTGTCCTGGCTCATTCTTTCAGAGCCTGGTTTGTGCCCTTGGAGACAGAGATCAGAATAAATTCATGCTCAGTGGGGATGGCCAGACCAGGGCATGGCCTTTGGAAGGTTCTGGAAGCCTTCACCTGCAGGGAAGCCTTCAGTGGTTCCAGTCCAGGGCTTCCCCTCTTTTTATTGGAGAGCATTTGGGAGTAAAGGGGTTGCCTGGCCAGACCTCACAGAGGAGGTGGTGCCAGCCCTGGCCGGGTGCAGAAGAGACTAGAGAACGTATTTAAACACGTTCAGAGTCCTGAAGAACCCAGAATCCTATCGCACACTAAATAGGAGAACACAAGTCTCTGCTGATAGGAGGCCCCGGGCTCTCTGAGTTCAGATAGTCCTCTATGCCCCGTGAACACGTTCAGCTCCACGTGCTGGTTCCCAGGCCGCTGGGACTGACCTGCAGAGCCCCCCGTGGTGGGATCCGCCTGCCTCACTTACAAAGGGCCACAGCCTCCACAAAACTAACTGGCGGGCTAATCAGGGGCCATACACGTGTTGTTTTTTAAACAGATTTGCTTTTATTTTTAAGGTTTGCTTAAATTAAATCACAATGATTACGTAACAAATTATCAGTAATGGACTATAATTGAGGCTTTTTCCTTGGACAGGGGCCCTTTTTCGTCTCACAAGGGTTAGAACCGATTTGCTCTTTTCAGGGGGAATGGGGTCAGGGAAGCCCCGGGGCTGGCGTGTTGACGTCTGTCCCGGGGGCCGGTCCTCACTGCCTCATTCTCCTGCAGGGCCCGACCCAGAGGCACGTCCAGGTCATCATGGAGAAGCTGCTGCGCACTGTGAACCGCACCGTCATCTCCATGGGCCGGGACTCCGAGCTCATCGTAAGTGCTCAGTGGCCTCACCGGGTCCCTCCCGGTGGCCGGGAGCCTCCCTCCCAGGAATGGCCTTTCCTTTCCAGCCCGAACAGCCCTCTGCGCCTCTTCCAACTGTCCTTTGAGACTGAGCTTATTTCCTTACAACACAGCGAGCGGGCGAGGTGCTTTCCTTTACCTCTGTTTCCCGCCTGGTCTGTAAAATGTGCTCACTTCCCACAATTGCAGAAGCAAGTGTGGAAGCCGGAGGGTGAGCCGGCCGGCGTGTCAGAGACGAGCGTTTGGTTCCTGTTTTCTCGGTGTTTGCTTCTAGCAAAGGGCGCTCGCTTCCCTTTGCCGCCCGCACTCTTCTGCGGTTTCTTCCTCCACGTTTACATTGAAGATGCCATTAATCACATTTTATGAGCGGCCTTAAAGCGTAATTGAGGAACTCCAGCAACGTGGCCCTTTCATTCCTCCTCGCGCGTGTTGTACGTGTATCTCCTGCCCAGGTCACCCAGGCATGGAATGGTGTCTTTTCCCCTCGGAAATGTCTAAGAATAATATAAAACTTGTGTTACGGTGCCTTTTCCCCAGAGTGTATGCCTTTCCTCCACACCCCCGATTCTCTTAAGTTTGTTTTCTTCGGCTGATTGACCTTGTGCTCAGACGCACATGTGTGCCTTCGCTTCCCAGTGTCACTGCGGCTGCTCTGTGAGTTTAGATTGGAGGAAGGTGGGGGTCGGGGGGATACCCCGGACAAGGCGGGCAAAAAACTTAATCACCGGGCCTTCTGGAGTGGAAAAGGCTCGGAAGATGGTTTATGGATGTGTTTTTGGGGCGCTCTTAACACCCCTTTCTGTCACAGAGATTTCAGTCCTTATGTGCTTGTTGCTCACTTTTGCATAAACGGAGTGGAAACGGTGTAACTATGAATCAGCTTAAAAATTCTAAGTAAGGATTTAAAAAAACGTAAGGTGATAAAAAAATGTGTTGAACAGATATGCTCCCCTTGGTGATCGGTTCCACGATACTGTCAGCAATAGTATTAAACGTGCGACCTCTTTCCCGCGGGAGTGCGTCCCCGACAGCTCCCTGTCTGTCTGCGCGTGGAACTGAGAGCCGGGAGCCGGGGACTCGTGTCGCTGGATCGGCTGTGGCAGCCACACAAGCCTGTCCTTTGATCTCTGTCTGTAGCATCCTATAAAGCACTGTGCCGCTGGTTGTATGTCATCTGTTTTGGTTTATTTTCTATCTTTCAACATTGTATTTGAAATGGGCTGTTGGAATGCATCTCATGCTTAGAATGAAAACATGCCCCGATCCTAAGGATGATACATTGTTGAACGAATAAAACTGCATTTGGCGGGAACAGAATCGTAGGTCGTGTGGGTGCCCAGCGCAGGCCCGTTGTAACAACAGAGAAGCCGCGCGGGAACCTCGCCACACGATTGAGATGCTGTTTTATCTTCACGCCAGCGGAGTTGGCTTCTGCAGGATAATTGAGTGAAGGGCTCACTTTTATGTTGTCTGATTTCAGATTTTATTTCCCTTCCTGTTTGAGGAGGTTCCTAGTCCCTGAGCATTAGGCACAGTCTCAGTCTCTGGGTCAGTTCTCAGCAGGTGGCCATGGTGGGCCAGGTGCCCTTGTCTTGTGGGCAGGTGGCTGAGCAGCGGTTAGGTGGGTGACCGGGCCCCCCTCCAATGTGTCTTTGCTGGAATAAGTGTCTGTGCGCAGAGCTGGGCTGAGAGCAGATGAAATGACTTCTACGCAGCAATATTCCTTCTGTGAGGTTAGCTGCCGCTTCCAGATGATCAGAATTACCTTCTGTTAACGGGCCCTTTAAAAATGTAATTGAGTGAGAAGGACTGTGGCCTGGATACACACCAGGAGACCGGCAATTACCCGTTCATGGAGAGGAAAAGGCTGGTCTCTTCTGAGGAAGGGAAGGGGTCCTGTGGACAGTCTCAGGAGCAGGCTTAGGAGAGGGAGACTCCCGCCTGGATGTTCCACTCGCCCTGTGACCAGACCTCCTGGCTCCCTCGACTCGAGTGACGGCAGTGACTTTGTTTCCACTCTGAACACCAGCTGTTGGGGACACCGATGGCGGGGGGAGGGTTTCATTGTGAGAACAGCGTCGTTGGTGGGGAGGACACTGTTAGTGAAACCCAGGGCTCCCCTCAAGCCTGGATTCTTACGGACCACGTGCTTTTTCAGTTGGGAAAGAGTGTAACTGATAGAAATGGCCTCTCAGTGAACAGCCCTTTACCAAGACGCGTCTCCAGATATCTTCCCAAAGACATTATGTGTCCCTGCGTGAACATTCACTTTTCAATGTTTATTCTAGTGGAGTCATTCATGAATATGCTTTAAAAATTGCTATTCTTAACCTTATTTGCAAAAGAAAGCCACACATTATGAAAGTTTCAAGTGGGGAGAGTCTGGTTTCCTGTCCCAGTGCCACCAAAAGTGTCTCTGATGGGACGTTTGGTACTAAATCCACTCGGAGAACACCTGGCTTTCGGAAAATCCTCCTGACACAGGTGCGCGCCAGCTGCGATGACATCAGAAATCCATCTGTGCCTGGTGTCGGTGCAGCGGTTTTTCCTGCCCCCTCCCATTCCTGGGGCCCTGGCACTTTGTCAAGGGTGGTCGCTGGCTGGGGATTTACTGCAGAGGTGAAACCACGTCTCTGCCTGGGGAACGCAGGCTGCGATTCTTGAATATTCACCCCAAACCGCCAAGGTGCCCGAAGTTAATTACCGAGCTGCTTAAGAGGCAGCACCCTGCTTCCACACGCCCTTCTCATCTGCAGAACGCATGCTGCCCATCGCGGCAGGATTGGTGGACCCGGTTCACCCAGTGAGCCCTGGAGCTCCTTCCTTCCTGCAGACACATTGGCTGCACACTTGACCTGTGCCTAACGTGCTGGTGGTAGGGTGTTTCTAGATAAAAGATGTGTCCCTGTGCAAAGCAGCTGCTGTCACCTTCGGGTGACTCTGCACCGCTGAAGCTGCCTGGCTTAGCGAGCGAGTCAGATTTACTTGCTGGTAAACACGCTGCTGGAAGCTCAGTCCCCCAGGTGGGCTGGGGCAAGTGTTGCACCGTCACGGACGTGAGGTATGGGCAGGCTCGGGGCCCAGTTCTTGTTTTTCTCTTGTCCTGGCCCCCATCTCCCGTGAGAGGCACAAAGCAAGCACCTGAATGTGGCCGTGTGTGTTCAGAGCTGTGACTGAGGATCGTGTCTGTCACGTGCCAAGCCTGCCACAGCACCCCAAGGAGAGCGGTGGGGCAGGGCACGCTCACTGGTCCTGTATGAGACGGGGGTCAGCCCGATGCAGGTCCATGTACACCACACCTCAGATCTCCGTGGCGATGGTCACCTTGGCAACCTCGTAGGATGTGGGGGGGACCTGTGCCCACTTCCTAAGCCCTTTCTTTCCTGCATAGTGTGGTTTGGCCACCCTTGTTTCCCTCCCCTGTTTATACTCTGCTGGAGCTGGGGGGAGGGTCTGAGGTCCAAAGAGCAGGGGCCCAGGTCCTGGGACCTCTCCTCGAGGCCAGTAGCTCTGTCAGAGGGACTGGCACAGTGTCATGTGTTGGATCTAGTGGCTCATATCCGAGGACCTCTGAGGCAGCAGCAGTAGGTGGGTGACTCACAGGTGACTATAGAATGTGACTCTTAAGTGTCCCCAGCTGCTGTGGGTGATGCACTGGGTCTTCTGACCTGTTCTGCACAGGAGCTGCACTCACCCCCTTCTTTCCTCTGGACCTGTGAGCGCAGTGGGAGCCTCTGTCTCAGCCCACAGGGGTTCCCCACCCTCGCAGGTAGACTCTGTTCGCAGAGACCAGGGAAGGGGCTGTGTGTCCCTCCTCTCCTTGGGAAAAGGGTCAGGATTGGGCTAGTCTCCATGGGAGAGGTGGGCCGCTCAGCCCAGCTGAGATGTTGGGATTCCCCCTGGGGGAGGGAGGGAGGCGGCTGATCCCCCGGGGTTGGGACCCGAACGATGGGTGATCCAGAGAGGAGCTGTCACCATGGGGCCAGGGCAGGAGTTTCCCCAGAAACACTGAGTCCTGGTGTCTGTCTGAGGTTCTTTCCAAACTGGACACCAGTTAGCCCTCCGGCAGTGAGCCAGTACGGTGAGCTCCCTACGTCCTTAAAAAGTCCCCCTGTCGTCCTGGTGGCCGAAGCCCACACCAGGGTGCGTGGTCTGGTAAACTGAGTCCTGGCTGGCATTGAGCCCACCCCTGCCCAGCCGGGCCGGGCCAGTGGGCAGTGCCACACCTCACAGTGCTCTCCTCCTGGAGCCTCGATGACCATCTTTTCAGCCTGAACTTCTTCCCTTTGTCATTGTTTCCTTAGATGACTTCTATTTCCCCCAAATGCCGAGGCCACGAAACAAGTTTAATAGCCACACAAAACATTTCCTTTCATTTTTTTATTTAAAAACTAATAAAGAACTTAGTGACAAGTATAATAACTTAACCTCTATACGTAATGCCATGGGTACATCTACATATGAGGGAATACTACATTTTAACTTGGTTTTTGTATCAAAGTTTTTACTGAAATCTTTCTAAGAGAAGATTCATCTGCTAGTGACACGTTGTGAGTAAACTATGAAATGGCTTGGAAAGTATTTTTTTTTTCTATGCTGAAGACAATTTTATTTTTAAATAGGAATGAGTTCCTTTTTGACTCTGACATTTTAAATTTTAATTTAGTTTTATTTTATCTAGACTGCTTTCGACCAGGGGCGTTATTTTGTTTTCGAGGATGTCCCCTTGTGTAGACAGATTTCTAGACCTAATTAGAAAGCTGCTCATACCCTATTTCAACTCACTGAGGGAGCTGGGAGTTCTTAAAACACAAGGAGAGATAACTTGTTGCAAACATTTTATAACATTAGTTAAAAACAGTATAAAATACATGAAACACCTTGTTTAAGTTTTATGTCTACGTGACACAATTGCACTTCCTTCATGAATCCAGGATCACCTTACACGTCCTTCCTTTGCACACAAAAAATATTTCTCCATTCTCTTTATTGACACCCAAGGATTTGTATCCTTGTGCAGTGTTTTCACAGAAGTGGTGTATTTTTTTCTTTTTTATTAAAGCCTACGTCTGCGGGACAGCTTGAGCAACCCCAGAGAACGTTTACATGACAGACTCTTCATGTATTTCACGTTCAGATCTGATTGCTGATCACTCCCAGGTCCTTAGAGAATCAGAACACTTAGAACGAAAGCAGATTTGCCGTTGAGTCAGGAGGAAATGCGAGGCAAGCAGCAGCCCCAGTCTGGCCGGTGCGGGGGGAGGGACTTCTCGGAGGAGCCGCTTTGTTCCCGGCAGCTGATCGATCACATGTGCGTGTCCGCACTGGATCGGACGTGAGACTACTGGACAGAAACTCGAAGACTAGGTTTTCTCGGATGTTCACAAACTATTCAAAATTTAACTTGTACCAAAAAAAGGCAAAAGAAGATCCCTCCTTCCTATTATGAAAAGCAAAAAAAATAAAAAAATTGATAGAGTCATTCATAGACCCGGGGGTTTGGATTTCTAGAAAAAGACACTTGCAAAGGAATGTGTGAAAAAATAAAGGAACTAAGATTTATATTGCAATGTGCAATCCAAAGAGAACTCTATGCATCACTGTGTGTTTAAAAAATACCTAAAAACATTGGATTCACAGCTTTCCCCTAGGTATTTCATTTAGTACAATTTACTGATAGGTTACATGTAGATGATACTACGTTTGTTTGACGGTAGCAGCTAAACTAAACACTGTTGCTCTTTGAAATGGCAGGTCTGCCACGGTTGTTACGCAGCACAACACACTGTAGCAGACGGCCGCCTGCCCTTCCCTTCAGATGAGCAGTGTCTCGGAGATACATCCGCGGGAGCCCTTGCCAGGGGCAGGGAGAAAGCCCGCGAATGATTGGCGACGGCGTTCTCCGTGTACCTCTACGTGTGTTTTCAAATTCTTGCCAGGATTTAGCGTTTGGCCTTTGGGTATCAAAAGATTAAAAATGAGATCTGGGAAAGCTTAGTGTCCGCTAGCTCTGACCCTGTCACCCGGCAGGGATGACAGGCCCGTCCTGACTTTGGGGGACTCCTGGCTGCGCGCCGTTTGGAAACGAGCGGTAAACGTTCCGCGGGTCTGGAGACGTGGAGGATGCTAATCTTCAGGTGTCAATGTGACACCGAGATGGGGTCGCTTGGCTTAGCGCTACAGCACATGAAGGCAGATATACACAGAGTCACACTGAGAGATTAGTCATGGTCTCCGACCACGTGGAAAAATTGTGCTTTCTCTAGAATGTGATGTGCTGAGAGCCGCCCCCACCCCCTGCTTATTTTTATCTGCAAAATGAAACGTAAAAATGAAGTCCTTGGCAAACGTAAGGCTTGCTTTTGCTTGGAAATAATTATGAGTTTCAGCTGTGCGCAGAGGGACAGCCTCCGGTTTGCAGGCTGACGACATCGTCCTTGGCGATCTGGGCGCGGGTACGATGTACTTGTCCCCTCCCCCTGCGGTAAGGTTCATGTTGGATTTCACGCCCCACATCCGCGAACTGTGAAGAGCAGCTGGCAAGGCTGACACTGGACACCTTGCCTCTGTTCACTGTTGGTACGAAGGCCTTTTTGGTAAGCAGGTGAGACCGGGTGGCGCCCGCGTCGGCCACGGTTCGCTCGCTCCCCTCGGTTTTGCAAAAGGACGGATTGAACTCCGGTGGGTTTTAAAGACCAGACGGCCCTTCAGCGCCAAACGCCACGCGTTTTAAAGGAACCAGAGTTTCCATCTTCCGTGCTTTTTAGATTCCGTTTTGGATTTTTGCTTGGGCGTGGAGGAGTGCGTCTCCTGAGAGTAAGGCGAGGGTGCAACCTGAGTTTCCTCAAAGGGATGGAGATTCCTCAGAACGGGCTGGAGTTTGTCTTCTTGCTGCTTGAAATCGAGCTCCACACTAGAAGGAAAGGAGAGGAGTGAATTTAGTGGTTGGTCTTTGGTACGCAGGGATCCCCCTTAGTGACACAGGATCGCGTGACATCCTACCGGAGGAACGATCCTTCCTGTTGTGTTCAGACTGTCACTTTATGGCTCCGTATTAAGCGATTGGCTGTAATATGGTCTATCTGTCACCGTGGCCTACACGCGACCCTGAACAACGTGAGGGTGAGGGGTACCGATCCCCCTCTCAGTTGAAAATCTGTGCATAACTTTTGAATCCCCAAAAGCTTAACTGCTAATAGCCTACTGTTGCCAGGACCTTACTGGTAACATAAACAGTCACTTAGCTCATGTTTTGTGTGTTGTATGTATTATGTGCTGTCTCCTTACAATAAAAGTCAGCTAGAGAAAATAACATGTTATTAAGGAAGTCATAAGGAAAATACATTTATGGTATTTATTGGAAAAAAAAAATCTGCTTATAAATTTAAACCTGTGCTGCTCAGGGCCAACTATATTTCAAGCAGGTTTCTTTTCATTGAAAAATAGCTTATTTCCTTCCACTCTGAAGCTCTGAGGTCCTGTCAGTGGACACGGTCGGTGTCGAAGTCTACACAGTCGCACATCATGACGTTTCCACGGATGGCGGGCTGCCTGTTGGACGGTGGTCCCCAGGATGACGGTGGGGCTGAATCTTCCTGTCGCCTAGAGATGTCGCAGTCGCGTGATGTCGCAGCTCAGCACCTTCCCCAGGGGTGTGTGGCAGTGCTGGCGTCCGTAAAACCTGCCTGCCCCCCCGCACCCGCCTCTCGAGCCCGATGCTGCGTCCGCCAGGCTTCCGGAGGATTCTGGCCCGGGCTCCTTCCCCGTCCGGCCCGGATGCCCGGCTAAATGTCAGTGGGTTTCAGTGAGTGTTCAGTGGTGATGGCGACGCCTGAGCTCGTAGCATTTTCTATCCAGTGGAGCCGTGAACCATTTATAAACATGAGATCCTATTGATTTAGAGGCCCGTTAATCCTAGACAAATTTTGACATTTTGGAAAGACAGAACAGCACAGCCGTGTCGTCCGGAGTTCTGAAAACACGTCCCAGACGCATCCAATGGACCATTGTGTGTTTGACGCCCACTGTTCCATTTTTCTTATTGTAAGAGACTATACTGTTATGGAAAAAGTTAAAAATATTGTCAAGAAGTTTATGGCCAGTTGCCCGCTGCTCCCAAAACAAGAACCAGTGTTTCCCCCTCATTTCAAAAGGCTTCTCTGAGCTTTACCGTGGTTCACAGGAGGTGGAAGCAAACCCCATGGCCTCACGTCCTGCTCGCCGAGAACACGGGGCCGGGAGGCAGAGACCCTCGAGGGACGGCTGTAAAAAGTGCAGAGCTCAGGATGTGGCGCGTTTGTGAACACAGCCCTCGGGTCTGATATCCGGTGCTGGAGAAAGACGGGCTTCGTCTCGTCTTTTTCCCTGGACGTTGGGGGGGCAGAGAGGGCTCCGGTAGGTCCCTTAACCTATTCTAGGGCGCAGTTTCCTTCTTTTCAAGGGTTATAATCATTACTGCCCCGACTAGCTCACTGAATTAGTTAAGGATCCCCTACCTCTCCCCCGCCCCGAAAAAAAGCCGTTGAAAAGTTTTCTAAACCGTAACGTGGAATTCACACATGATTTTACCCTTTTATTAGTCGAGCATCGATTTTGTGATGAGAGAAAGAGCCAACAGTTCTCAAGACGATACCTGTAAGAGACCCCTTCAGCTCGGGAATTCAACCAGCAAAACAAGACCCTCGCACTGAGTCTGGGATGAGATAGCGCATCCGACGCGGGATGCCAGGTCCGTGACGTGATTTCGTCAGGGCGCTGGGCGAGTGCCGGCACGTGCCCCCCGGGCCTAACCGCGTCAGGAGGCCCGGACAGGCTGCGAGCCATCAGGTCCCGGGACGGGGCCAGCGTTTCCCGGCTGCCGCTGCCCTGCCCGGCACCTGTAATTATTGAATTCCCATTAAGCGACTGCACTGGGAATCCCGTTATTAACCAATTTATCACACCACGGAACCATGTAATCACGGGGAAATCTAATCTGAGTCCTTGCTAACAGAATGGCTCGACTTCACCTGGCGAGTTGGTTCCTCTTGGCTCCCCCGTTACTGAGGGGCCGAGAGGCTGGAGTCCGGAGCGGTGTCTTCGTGGAGGGCGTGGGGGTGGACACTGATGGGCAACGGTCCCTTCAGTCTCCACAGCGAGGTGCCCAGAGGACAGCAAGGCCCTGCTGCCCTGGTCGGAGCGGAGGACGTGCCTGGGACAACGTGGCGGTTTGAAACCCTGCCTGTGCCCGACCGCCCGTGGGTCACGTCAGATGATGAAACTACGCGGACAACAGGGTATTCTCTCTGCTGTTGCAAAGCGACAGGCAGGTCCTCGAGCTTCCCACTCGCTCAGGGTCCCAGCCACCGACTGACCCCTGCCCTGCGGCCGGCTGTGTGGCCGCCTTGAGGGGACAGAAACGAGCAGCTGTAGGTCCCTGGAGGGCGCAGTCGCTTAGGGTCTGGTAACTAACGGTAGGAATTCTAACACTTTCTAGGGGAATTGTAAATGCTGGTCAAGATCCTACTCCATTAACGGGAATTGGCATCGTTATTGTCTTTGAAATCTTGCTTTCATTCCGTTTTGAATTGAAGCTGGCACACGCCTTTCTGGTAGAAATGTCAAATTTGAATTCAAGCCATTGGTAGCGATGTTATTTCACGAATTAACCACCTCAGGAAAGGGGGGAATGAGGGCTGTGCCCCGGGAATGCCTCGCTGTTCCTCTCTGAGGTGGTGACTCACAGGGAGCCTGACTCATCGGTTAGTCTGATAGAGAGTTACCGCGTAGTCTGGGGGCAGAAGGTTCCGACTGCTTATGAGCAAAGATTACGTTAGTAACTTACCCTTAAACATGTTTCTGAAATTATTACAGCGTATTTTGACAGGGAATGGGAGTGACAATCCAGGAGAGCTGTACCCAGGAAAACGGAAACTCGGGTCTCTTCTAATATTCTTTTCGGGCTGAGATGGCCTTGAAGTAGAATTTCACCATCGGTCTGCATGGCAGTCAAAGGGATGTCGTCTCGGGGGAATGTAATCGTATCGACCCCCTCAAACTCCTCAGTTGTGGAAAATACCACTTCCGATGCTCCCGGTGTCAGTGAGCTCGTCCGCAGGGCGGTCGTTTCATTGCCGAGAACAGTTGTTCGTCTCTCTGCGAATCGATTTGCCGATACAGGAGCAGATGCCGTTCGGATGAGAAACGACGTGTGTCTGTCCACAGCTCTCGCTCCTGCATGCTTTCTGGGAAGCTCTCAGACCCATTTCTTTCATCATCATAAATCACCGGCTCAGGAGACTCCTACGCCAGGAAGGGACCCACCTGATGAGTAAGGGACCCCGGGTGCCCTCCTGCCTGCCTCAGGGATTTAATGGACACCCGCCAAGGACGGACGGAGAGAGCGCGGGTTCAGCCCTGCCCCTGGGCCCCGGGATCTGAGCAGCAGCCTGGGGCAGCCGATGTTTCCAGCGTTTCGCTTGTGGTACTGGCAGCCCTGTGCGCTGAAATTGCTTCAAGACCTTTTGTCTTTTTGATGTTTTCTCCAAGTCCTGCATATTTCCACGACAGGCTTATTTTTTACAGCGAAATAGGTGCCATCACTCAGGCAAAGGTGCACATCTATTACAGGGCTGCGTGGATCGAACCCCAGGCAGCTGGGTCTCGAACGCGGCCCCCTCTGCCTCTCCCCGGGCTGAGTGTTCCATAGAAACGCAGCGGATTCCTACGCTGCTCGCGGTGGGTAATTGGGTTTCCAGTGAAAAGCAGTGTGTACATGCAAGAAGGGCAGGGTCAAATTCATTGACCTCCCCGGCTCTCGGCTGCCGGCTCACAGGTATGACAAATTGTAACAGGTGGATGTGGCAGATATGGTGGCCTCTTGTGTTCTCCCAGCCCCTGGGACAACCGCAGTCCTTTGGCGTTTCAAATTTCTTTATTTTGAAACTCCTTTAACTGATTCAATCCCAGGTGCTCCAGGCACCCTTTGGGGAAGACCCAGCGGAGTGGCCGAGATGGTGGAGCAGGGACTCACGGGAACACTCCCGGAGCCTTAGATGCAGGCCTGGTGCCCACAAAGCTGGTACCCACAGGCCTGCCTCCGTACCTGCGGCAAGGACCCTGCCCTTGCACTGACTGGGCCTTTCTCATGGGCTCTCTCTCTGTCGAGCTGTGGGCAGGAATTGAAGGAAGACTCGTGTGCAAGTTTCCTTGATCAGGAGAAATGGGCTCCAATCAAAAGGCCTTTGAAACGTGGACACTCCCTCTGGCTCCCGTGGGTCTAAGCTTCTGAGACGTGGCTCCCACGTGCACCGCTGCGGGGTCTCCTGAAAGGCGACTTCTCCTGCCCAGGGACTAGTGAGCGCCGAGTGCTTGTCCGTCCAGGAAACCCGAGCTCTCTGTGGAGCATTTGGCCTTAGAAGGTTGAATCACGGGGCTGAGCGAATGCTGAGAAATCACCTGGCTGAACCCCTCCTCGCTCCCCTTTCTGTTTGGTCAAAGGGAACCCCGAGGGAGGAGGTTCCCTGGCTCCGTGTATTGATGGTTGCCAGGCATCCGGGCAGACTCGGGTAGCCGGGAGTCAGGATTGCGGCAGTCCCCTTACCCCGCTCGCTGCATTAGCCGCCACCGCCCTGTGCCAGGTGACACCCCCGAGGCCCGCCCGGGGCTCCTGGCCAGCAGGTCGCCCTGTTTTTCGTCCATGTCACTGTCCTCTTACTCTCCAGGTGCGCGCTCGCCAGGAGCAGGTGGTGCTTGGGGCTGTCTGTGCCATCTGCCCTCCTTGAAGGGAGGTGACGTATTCTTGGGTGACCTGGGCCAGTGCGCTGTGACTGAGGCAGGAGCGCCCTGTTTCTGTGAGTGCGGCGCTGTGAGATGAATGTGAGAAAGGCGAGCGCAAGGCAGCATCCACGAGGGTTCTGCCTTCGGACCCCGTCGCAAGACCCCGTTTCCAAGCGTGGTTTGCGGAAGGGAGCTCGGCGCCCTCGTGGGGGCCCCACATCCACAGAAAGCCTCTGGCCTGCCCTCGAGAGACAGGCGCGACTTTAAGTGAGGTAAACGTCGAGATCTCAGTTTATATGAATGGAGTGGAAATAATACATTTCAGGCTACGATTTCCGTTCGGACGGGTTTTCAGTGAGCTGACCAGGAGTGAGCTTTCCCTCCTCCTAACACCTGCCCGGCTCGGAAAACTCCCGCCCGCGCCAGTGCCCCATGGAAGGAGTCGCCGTTCGCCTTTTTATTGGCGCGTAACATTGTCGAGTTAGTGGCTGTCGCCTTTTGATTATTTCCAGCATAAAGTGATAGGGACACTGGGAAACAGAGTTTGAAGAGCTGTATATCCGCCTGACTTGGTGGAAACGTCGAGATCTTTGTCTGGGGCGGGGCAGGGGAGGGAGTCCAGGGAAACCCTCCCGTCGGGGCTCCCAGAGCCACTCCTGCCTCCAGCAGGAGGCTGGGGCTGGGGAATGATGACATTGTTGTTGTTGCTCGGATGGGAGAGATTCCGAAATACTTTCCTGAAGGGGACTCCGATCCAAAACTCGGCGTTTGCTCTGGTGCCGCCTCTCCTGGGAGGCCTGGCTCACGCGGGGCGCTGGCAGTGCATGTCCCCCCTCGCAGGGATCGCGGCGGCTCGTTCCTCTGCCTGGTGAATCCTCGCTAAATTCTGGCCAGCTCCTGGGGCGCTGGACACTCACAGCTGTCTCGAAATGCTGTCCGGCGGCTGATGGACTCACGCAGGAGGTTGGCCGAGCTCATTCTAAATAGCAGCCACTCCAGGGTAATTCCTGTTCTTCGCGGGCTTGTTAAATCGCTTTTAATATCACTTTTAATGTATGTTCCTTCTGGATTTAGAGCCAAATTTATTTAAATTACTCCAGTTACTTTGGAGAGTGTCCTAATAAATTCTCTCTTCAATCACGCACAGAATGTTAAGCGGGTGTGTGCGCATCACCCGCGCTCTGAGCCGTCTCTGGGAATCGCCGCTCCCTTCTGCTCAAGGGCCGGGTGAGCCGCAGCTCCCCCAGGAACAGAAGCTGAGCCTCGAGGACAGTCCCGGCTTTCCTCACGGCCTGACGTCAGTGAAGGGTGCTTACGTGTCAGTTACATCCCTTCGCTTTTTTTTTAAATTTTTATTTTAAAATGTTTTTATTGACTTCAGAGAGAGGAAGGGAGAGGGGGAGAGAGAAATGGAAACGTCAATGGTGAGAGTCATTGACCGGCTGCCTGACTAGGGATCGAGCCTGCAGCCCGGGCCTGTGCCCTGACTGGGATTCGAACCGGTGACCTCCTGGTTCTGTAGGTTGACGCTCAACCATGAGCCACGCCTGCCGGGCGATCCCTTCACTCTCGATTCAGATTCCCTTCCACCGTACGCATGTAGTGGGAAATCTCCCACTAACCAAACTCCTCCGACACATTGCTGCCTCTGAGGAGACAGGTTGCATTTTGTAGTTCTTGACACAGACTCTTGCCTGGGGGCTGGTTTTCCCCACTTCTTTGTGAATAGTGAACCAGCCCAGCCCAGGGCTCGGCTGCTCGGCCGGGGCTGCCAGGAGCCCTCCACAGGGGCCTGGATGCTCACAGACCCTAACCCGGGGACCGTCCCAGCCAGGCAGCCTGTCTCCGCCTCAGTGCGGTGAACATTCGGACCGACGGTTGTGTGGAAGCCGTCCTGTGCACTGTAAGATGTCAGCAGCATCCCTGGTTCCCTGGCCTCCACCTCCGGGTGCCCAAAGCACCTCCCCAGGTTTGACGGCTGAAAATGACTCCCTCCAGACCTTGCCCACTGCCCCTGGGAGGCAGAGCCTCCCTCTGTGGACAACGTCTGCCGTAGGAGTGGGCTTCGTGTGACATTGGCTTGAGTCTGCCCTGGGCTTTCTCCTGCCCCCCCCTCCAGGTGGTCCCCAGGTGAGCCGGAGCTGGTTCTAAGGACCCGGGGTCCTGGCTGGGGGGTGCTGCCTCCGCTAGAGACCTGCGCTGGGTCCAAGACTCTGGGGATTCAGGCTTCTTGCCATAGTTAAGACATTCATACCCTGTCCCTGCCTCTCCCTTTTGGATGAGAAGATGGTAATTTTGGAGACCTTTTTAGAAGGTGTATTTGGGGGCAGATGGGAATTCCTTTATTCGTTTTCAGGTGTATAACTGTACAGTTAGAAGCGTTTTTGATAATTTGGCAAATCAACTAAAATAGTTCTTCAGGCTTCATATTTGGTTCTTTGAAAATTACATTTCCGGAAAGAAAAAATAGTCGCCTTGGAAGGCTGTGACCATGTCTTAAATTCCTAAACTCCTGCCAGAAACCCACCCTGGCTTCTGCCTGTTAGAAGTTTCTCCTGCCTTATGGGAGGAATCTAAGTGAACTTCAGACGCAAAGACATGGAGACCGGCTGTTGGGGCTACAGCAGGGGTTACGCCCCAGGGGCCACATGCCTGTGAGTCCTCAGGACGTACATGCACCTGTGGTGTGAGCAGCCTCGGTCCTCCCTGTGCTCCCGGCAACCCAGCGCCTGTGGTCTGCACCACCTGAAGGGCTCACAACAGCCACCGAACTCATACCAGTTTCTGAAACGGCTAAGATAGATGTGCAGGATACACCAGATCGAGCTCTCCTGGGCCCCGTGACCACACCTGCCTGGGGGTGACATTTAGGAGGAGCTCAGAGTTAGGGTCAGGTAACGCCCTTTACTCTCCGACTGCCGCCATCGCCTCCGCATGGCCCCGAGGACCCCTGCATTGTGGGTAAACGTCACTCGTCACTCATAATAAAAGGGGAGAGGGGGAGAGTGAACGTACCTGTAGATAATACAGGCACTGTTCCTGCACGTGTCACAGTTAGCTGTGTCTTGCCCCGTCCGATAGGAGAGCCTGCAAGATAAGAACGGGAGAGCATCACACGCGGTGGCTGGTGGCCGCGGGCGTGTGCAGAGCAGACACCTCCAGTCTCGCTTCCCCGATGCCAGAGCTCGTCCCTGCGACGGGAGTCGGTTAACGTGCCCTGTTTGGCCCCCTTCTCTGCGTTGACGTACCCAATGCAGCAGCTACAGCTAAGACGATATTTAAATTAAATTTGGAATGTGAACGGAAGCTGCTGGATGAAGTAAACAATCCGATGTTATGAGCAGAGGGCATTTGGGATGTTTCACTGCAGCTTTATATTTATGGTGTTTGAAAGAAACTCGGAAGGAAACCCGGCTCCCCAAATGCTGACGCAATGGCCATTTCTGCCCTGCAACCCCCTGGCCTCCTAGAGGGAGGTGTCTGCAAACCACCACCCTCGGGTCAGTCCCACCCTCGGCCTGGCTTTATCCAGCAACCTAAGAATGGGTTTTACATTTTTAAGTGGTTAAAAAAATATCAAAATAATCATATTTGGAACACATGAAAATTAATCAGAATCAGATTGTAGAGTCCATATATGAAGTTTTAAGACAATAAATATTACTTAAAAGGTTTCTATAAGGACCTACACAGTTTCCTTGGTTTTGCCTCTTTCTTTGAAAATCCCACAATATTTCCTCTGGCTCATCAGAGGAAAGTGTGCTGGACCCTGTGTCCAAGCCTTCCACACCCTCACCCTGCATCCCGGCATCCTGGCATCCCACGCCCTCGCTCTGCATCCCGCATCCTGGCATCCCATGGTCCTCGCTCTGCATCCCACATCCTGGCATCCCACGGCCCTCGCTCTGCGTCCCGCATCCCACAGCCCTCACACGCGTCCCGTTTGCTTTCTCCGGCTGCCTTCTCTGATGAGCTCTGCAGCCCTGTGAGGCTGCAGAGTTTGGCAGGAGCTGGGGGAGGCTAATTCTCTTCTTGCTGAAAAAAAATTATGGCATCTTTTTTGGAGTATAATGTGGAAGGTTGTTTACACTTAAAGGTTTGATGACCAGGATTTTCTTGACCAGGCCTTGGCTATCTGTCTCTCAGCAACCACCCCCAGGAGCCAGCGTGGGGGCTGCTTTCACAGGCTCTTCTATCCACATCGGCTGGGATTTCCTCCAGGATGTTCCTGACACGCTGCTGTGTTTTTCTGAATGTCGCCTTGTACCCGGGGCCAGGCACGATAACCATATCTGTTAATTTGTGGCAGAAGAGAAGCTTCCATCCCAATCGGCTTGCACCCACCTTGGGGGTAAAGTCCATGCGTGGCGTCGCCCAGCCTCGCGGCGGTGGGCACAGGCGGCTTTCTGTCACACGATCGTCCGAGGTTTATCCCCCGGCTGGGCAAACTTCTGCATGTATCGTGCAGTTTGAATTGGAAATGACTTTTGTTTTCCTCATATACTTTGTGTTACACAAACATCTGACAAGGGGTTTTCTACTCCATGCCCGGTTATCGCATGCGTTTTGGCGACCTGGGACTCGACCTTCGAGCTCTGTGCGTCGTATTGGCCGAGTGACCACACTCTGCCCCCGCGTGTTGCCCGTCATTGCCTGTGACCCGTTCTGGCTGAACCAGCGTCGGGGCCGTCGTGTGGTGGCATCTCTGCTCACCTTTGGGTCCCACCCTCGGCCTTTTCTCCTGCCCTTGACTTTGTCAGGAGGGAAAGACTGAAGAGCCTGTCCGCGCCCTTCACGGCGAGCCCGAGGGCCCTTGCTCCTGGACCCCCCGGGCTTGCGGAGCTGACACCAGCATTCCCGTCCTGACTCTGACCTTGTCTGTCCTCCGTGCCCGCTGTCTCCCAGGCGCCGTCTCCGTCCAGCTCACGGCCGGCGCCTGGCCCTAGGCTCGTTTCTGACCAAGGTCATTCTGTGCAGGGAAATGAGGCCAGTGCGCGAGCCGTGTCCCGCGATGATGTGTGTGCTGTGGGCTGGGTCATCACACTGTCAGGCTGTCAGGCTGTTCACTTGGGTTGCGGGTGAGGGGCTGCCCCGGCTACTGCCCCCCACCCTCCGGGGGAGGGGATTCGTGGCAGCTGCTTGTGTGCCAGTCAGCTCCAGCCGTAGGCTTCTCAAAGAAACGGGGCACAGTCAGGGGAGGGGCCATTTCTTCACCCTCACCTGAGGGCACAGGGAACCTTCCTGTCCTAGGCCTTGGGACAAATGTCTCCCAAGCCTTGTCAACGCCAACACCCCTCCCTTGCCCTGTCTAGCAGTGTTCCCAAGTGTCTCACTTACATTAGAGCCTGGAGTCCTCAAATCAGTTTTGCCACCTGGTCCTACAGAGGAGGGCCTGGCGACCCTTCCAGCCCCGTCTCATGGTCCTGAGACCTGTGGGACTGGGGCTCTGCTCTGTGTGTAATTGCCAGCGTGAGGCTGTCACAGGTCCCACGGTGACCGGCCAGGGCATCTGGCACCGGAAATGCACAGGACTTTCTTCTAGGAACGTGGGCATCTTCAGTTAGAAATTGCTTTTCTAAAGCCCTATTAAAAAAACCTATTCTTATCCCCTTGTAAAAAGCATACATCCCTCCCCCCCGCCCCCCGTTAGAGTCGGTAAGTAACCAGCTGTTAAGTGCCTACTAGGTGCCAGGCATTATTCTGGCCACCCTTTTATTAACTGATTTAAAAGAAAAGCTTGTGGTCGGTCAGCTGTCCACCAGGTCTGACGGCATTTCCGGGATCTCACTGCCACGAGTGTTCCTGAGAGAGACCCTTCAGCCTGCTGCTCAGGTTTCGCTCCTGACCTTTCTTTCCTGTAAAGGATTAAAATGTTTGGAGTCCATAGAGGTAGTTGATAGAAAGGGAGGTCAGCGAGAGTTTAATTTGTGGGTAAAATGTAAAACTAAAGTGTTGCCGGGCGTGTCCCCGGCTGCCGAGGCAGCGAGTGTCAGTCACAGTACGTCTGCTGGACTTGTATGAAGCAGGAGGGTGTCCCCAGTCGAGGACCCACCTGTGCTGCAGTGGTGCTTATTGCTTTGAGAATCCGCCTAATTGTCCTTGGAGCTTCCAAGCTGCAGGGTGTGGCTTCGCCCGCAGTTTTCTGGTCACGTTAGGAATTGCGTTGCAGCATCAGAATGGGCCTGTTCTCCAAGTACAGATGAAACAGGCGAGTCGTGGCTGGATGACAGGGCCCGCAAAGCGCTGTTACGGATTTTCTCTGGTGTTTCCTTCTCGGAAACAAGTCATAAAACCAGCCCTTGGAATGGTGTCTTTCTAGGTCGCCGTTTCCACCAAGAGGAGCAAAACCTTTAGGGCAGGTACGTCTCCAGTGACTGTAGGGCTAGAGACCTGAGTGCTGAGGAGCTTGGAGACGAGAGCTTGGATTGTTGGTGTAAAACGTCAGTGGGAGAAAGTCATGATCAGAAATCACGAATTTCCAGCCTTGCAAGCTAATTGCTCCATTGGTAAATCTCTCCTCTCTTTTGACTTGGAAAACTCATTCCCTTATATAGGTTTGTAATCCTGTGCCTGTCGCAATGCCTGGGACTCCCCGGGTGTTTGCTTAATATTAATTTGACCAAATAAGACAGTCTTTGCCTTCTCATATTGAAGTTCGGTAAGAGACAAATCTAATGAAAAAAATTCCAACTGAGCACAGAAAGCAAATGAAAAGTATAAATTGTGAAAAGCTCGGGTCCTAGTTTTCCCCATTAGGACCCCTTAGGACCCCAGGGACAAGTACGCTCCCTGGAAATATGGATTTTGAATGTGTTGATCTTTGCAGCACCCACTATTTATTGCTCCATTACAGTAAGTTGCCGTTTGTCCGTATTTTCTGATCTTAGCAACGTAGATAACCTGGAAAAATAACCTTCAGCACCACGGACAGTGCCAAGGGCCCATGATAATCTTTCCAGTACTTTGCTGTTTCTTTGACTCCTTTTTTTGCCACCCTGTGCCCGCCCCATCCCTCCAGAGCACGGTTCCAACCCACGGGCCAGTTCTGGGACCCCGAACCCCCTCCCCTCTGTGATTCCCTTTGGCTGTGCATTGGTCTTGGGCTGGATTGACAAGTGCAGGCGCCTGGGCTTGAGCTAGGAAATTGAGAGACATAAAAGCGTGGGCTTTGTGAAGGCACGGGG